TAAAACTGCAGGTCTTTGGCACTGTATGCAGCGGTCATGCTGGGCAGGCTGTGGGAGCTGGCTCTAGTATGCAGGGCCTGTGTATGGGGCCAATCTAGCCCATGGACCAGCCCTGAAACCCTCATTTAATCTCAATGTTAGAGGTAGGGGTACTGAATGATAAAGGGATGAGATAGAGCAGTTTATCAGAGCTGTGATGGTAAATTGAGATTAAGCGTGTACCTGGTCTTGTGGGTGAGTCTGAGCCCTGCTCCCTGCCCCTAATGTATATGTGATGGAAGGAAGGGGATGCAGATGTATCTTAAAGATTGAATGTGCCATGCTGTCGGCACTGAGTCCCCTATGCTGCATCAGTAGCAGGGCACAGAAGGTCTTCAATGCAGAATATCAGTTGTGAGGTTCGATATAAGAATGGCCTGTTAGTTTAATCATTTAGGTGAAAGTATAGCATAAAATAGCATCCTGTGTATGTGGTTGAAGAGTTTGTAAAAGAGGGTAAGTTGTTGTAACACTGAGAAAACTGACGTTTGTTTCTGGTAAGTAGGTTCAGTGTTTAAGTCCCTTCACAGCTGTACTTCCCACATCAATTCCCTCTAATCTCCCCTGATCTGAGGACAGCAAAAGGCTCCAGAGAGAAATGGTATTTCATAAAGTAAATGGTATTTCACTTACTTCACGTTATGAACTTTATGAAACATTTTTTCAATTTTACTTTCAACTCCTCACCTTACCTCACCTCACATAAATACAGATCTCCCATAGATGTGCATCCATCTCTCAACTCATCTTTCAGCTTCCCTTTCCTACCAGCAAGCATTGACATTTGTAATTAACTTTCTGTTCAAAGACCATTTGAGTACCTTCAGAATTATGTGCTCCACTTGGATTACATTTCCCCAAAATAAAATACTAATTTTAAAAGTTGCCAAAAAATAGATTTTAACAAAAATTCCTACTCTTTCTGAAATGTCTATCAAGGATAGGGTTTGCACATACAGATCAGAATTCTATTTCATCTAAAGGTCAACATAAGTACAACGTGAAACTAATTCTAAGTTACGCATCTATTGTATAGGAGAGTTATGTGACCCTTTCTGAGCACATAAATAGGAATGTGATCATCTTTCAGAGACATGCAGACATCTTCCTATTCATGTACACAATGGGGGCAATTACATGCCCAAAATTGGTAATAAAATCAGCCTTGCAAAATAGGGGTGCATCCCCACAAACAGGAATATGCATTCCCTGGGGACAACTAGCATCAGTACATATTTGTGCTACTGCTAGTTGTCCCCAGGGAATGCCCCTGCACAAGCACTCTGGCGTGAAGTAGGCCCTCCAAAGGCTTGTGATGGCAGTCCAGGCACGTGGAGCCTGGCCAGTAGCTGGAGCATGGCTCTGGCCAGCCAGGCTCCAGTTTCCGGTGGTACATCCTGCTGCCTCATGAAAAAGAAAAGGATTGGGCCTCTCGCTGCCTTCAGCAGTCACCTACTAAAGGCAGAAGTGGTGAGGGACCTGATCCTTTTTTTTTTTTTTTTGCAGAGCCTGCACACCTCTCCTGCATCCAGGGGCTGAGCTGCCAGCTGGCTGAGCAGCCCCTGAGCTGCAGGAAGCCCCAGTCCACCCCCTTGCAGCGGCAGCACCTCCTGGGCCAACCAGGCCCATGGGGCTAGTGGGCAGATGTTGCCCCAGCCTGGAGGCAGCACCCACCAGATCCAGCTCTTCCCTGAGCCCACCCAGGGAGCAGTGGCCCGTGAACTATCCCTGCCACCTCCCCACCATCTGTGACCAACGGAGAATGGGCAGGCTTGTTTCTGGGGCAGTGTGAGAAGGCAGCAAGAGGGTGCCTGGGTGTGCTGGTGGCTGGAGAAAGCAGGGGGGATGGTGCATGGGGTGCTAGAAGCCCAGGTGAAAACACTGAATCAAGCACCTCCGATCTGGGGAAGCACCTGCCAGCTAGCAGCCTGCCCAGGCTGCCCCAGGGGGCACCACTGCACTGGAGGGAAGGACCAGGGCCCTCTGCAACTCAGGGACTGCTTGGCCCTCCAGCAGCTCACCCCCTGGCCACAGGAGATGCAGGCAGGCTCCATGAAAAAAAAAGATCAGGCCTCATGCTGCTTCTGCCTCTCCCGCAGCCAGGGTGCAAACTGTCAGATTAAAGACTGCAATGTTACATGTAGCTACATTGCAAACAACATGGGGATGTAGCTTAGTTTGCAACGTAATGAACTCATTTAAATCGTAAAAAACCCCATTCGTGTAAAATGTGATGCAATTAAATCACAAAAACGTGTACAAACACCCCATAACTGCAGCTGGACTGGAGCACTGCCTTAATGCTTTATGAGATGTGAACAAGAGAGAATCAGTTACCTCAAAAAGGAAGTCAAGTTAATTTTGCATTCCTAACTAATGATATTGCATTCAGTACTAAGGATGAAAATGAGCCATTATTAACACTGATAACATTAATAATGAGAAAATGGAAATGCAGTGAAGCCACACTTTTCTCTATGCTGACAAAAGCAATTCCACACCTAGCAGACAGGCAAAACTAGAACTAGGAGGTCTATTGCTATAAAAGTTATGAATCAATTATATATATTAATTTAGAACACAAAGGACTATTAAAGATGAACTGTTAAAGCAACAGGGTAAATGAACCCGTTAATAGAAATTCTATCTTTTCTTCTTCACTATGACGACAGTTGTAAAGCTGCCAGCAATAACGTTTCCCTTTTAGATAATGCTTTTGGTGTTACAGTCTTGTAAAAGTCATAAAAGATGACAATCCTGGAGACGTGATCCAGTGACAGTGTTACTTCTTTATTCAGAGCTCAGGACTGGACAGTAGCAAACAGTATAAAGCTACCTAAGAAAGTGCCTCAACCTTATTTATTCTTGTCTGCTTAAAGTACCAAATCCATTTACAGAACATAGATATCGAAACAGCTTTAATATATTAGCAGAAGATGTGCTTTAGCTTTGAACAACTTGTTTAATTAAGACAGGAGCCAGTTCAAAAATACAGGGAAAAAATGATACTCACCAAGTTAGCCTCCAGAACTAGAGCACCAGAACTATGAATTATAACTGCCAATTCCAGCTTCTCCCATCCTTAGCCCAACTACTATCTTTAACATCTGCTGGATAGGATATATCACCTTAGTTGTCCCTGCTTTGTTCACAACAGCATTTCTCATGGATGGCAAAGACCCTAATGACCCTCTAAAAAATTCAGCCTCTGACAGCTAACCATACAGGGTCCCATATCTTCTGAATCATTCTTTGAAATGTCTCATCAGATGCTGCCATGCACTTCCAATGATAAGCCAGTTCATATAGTTTGCTGTTGTTTTCAGATATGGCTGGAGTTCCAAATACTAATTTCTACCCCACCCTTCCTTATCTGTTTGTTACAGACTGTTAGTCACTCTCGCAAATCTTCTTTGTCTATGTACTTGTTGGAATCTGAATGCGATTCTCACGTTAATGGTACCAAGGTGTCAATCTCAGGACGAGTCCCAATGGAGTAGTCACATGATTATCCATGAAGAGACTTGAGTTCAAGCCTGAAGTGCATGTGGCCTTAACCATGAAGAGTGCTGGCAACTGCATTCTGTATCACCAAGAACCCATGCATTGACTTTATATTCAGGTGCTTCACACAGCATACTGTATTTTCTTGCATACAACATGTCCCTTTTCCTCCAAAATCAGTTCCCCAAAATGGGGATGCATGTATTAAGTGGAGAAGCTGATTTTCTGTCCAGGATAGCAGCACTCTCCTTTTATTCCTACTTGTAACAGAGAGCTTAGGGCTCTCTGTTCTTTTAAGGAAGAAGCCTAGCAAGGGAGTATCGCAGGCTAGGCAGGATGCAGCAGCTGAAGGTTGCTGGGAAAACAGGCCAATTAGGCCAATTGCCAGGCAGCTGTAGGCAGCTCAGACAGTCTGCTGACCCAAAGGCAGCAGAGCGCCAGGAAGATATAAGCCCAGAGCCTGAGTTGGCAAGCTAGTCTCTCCCTGGCAGCACAGTTGCTGAAGGGACTACAAGGCTGTATATGGATCCCCAGTGAGGCTCGGGGAGTTCACTAAGTTATAGCAAAGGGCTGGGAAACTATCCTAGCTGAGCACTGAAGGAAATTTTTTCCTTCATAAAGGGACAGAAGGCTGCTTCCCTTTTATGTTTATGTTATAGCCCAGCGGCTTAGGTTTATGTTATAGTTGCACCAGCGGCTTGGGTTGGGACTGTAGGGGCAGGGTAAAAAGGTCCCATTAATAGCTGTGGGGCACAGAATCACTTTGAGCCCTGCCAGGGGCAGGCTGAAGGTTGGAGTGACTATTGAGCCCCAAACAGGCATAGTGCCAGGTCACAGAACCAAACAGGAGCCAGGAGCTGGGTGTCCAAGGGAGCCTGGCACCTGAGAGGGGGAACAGCCACACAGGCCAGGGGCCTGGTGCCCAAATGAGCCAAGCCAGAGCAACACAGTGGGCCTGGGCTTGAAGACCTAGCTGAGAGTGAAGGGATGGAGGCTGCACACTGTCTTCTATTTCACAGCCATGGAGATCCTTTAACTCCCTTCAAAAATCCCCAGATCTTAGATCCACCCATGGAGGCCAAGCTGGAGGTGAGAGAAGGTGTTGTTAATAAACTGTTTGGTTCTGCAAGCTCACTAAACAGAGCATTAGTGCATGGACATACTCATTGAAATAAATGAGTGGAGTAAAGTGCTACTCAGCATAAATGAAGTTATCAAATGTGGCTTGACAAGAGGAACAGCATGCAAAATAATGCAAAAAACAATTGAGAGGCTAAATTCAGCCCAGATTTATGTTTATTTCTAATACCACAAGCCCACGAACAAAATTTTAGCGATGGAAAGCTGTCTGTGCTGTAGTACAAAGCTGCCCTAGCTTCCCCTGCCACAGTTCAGCCCAGCCCTAAACATGGATGATGCTGGCTGGATGTGGAGCAGTAGTAGGACAGCCAAGTAAATAACACCCATCCATCACAAGCTCTTGACACTAGGGCTCCCAGGAAAACATAATGCCATAATGGCGCACACCTGCTTAGGGGAAATCCTTTGAAAAGTGTTTCCTTGGATTCTCAGATAGGCTTTTTGCCACAAGGAGATCTGTATGGCTGCAGCTGCTCTGCTTTAGCAAAGTACTAACCAGTCTAAAGCCAGCTTGGAAATGTCTTCTCAAGCTGCAGCGACCATAATGGTAGGAAAATTGACAGAAGACCAGATTCCAGTTAAAGTCTAGTCTTAATGATGTACTGGTATATATCATTCTATCAGTTAGGGGTGTAATTTTTTTTTTACCTGCATAATTCTACTCACGATCTGTTGCATGGGTGCATTTGTACTAGTATAAAGAGTCCTTATACATTATACCTGATTCCTCTTCCCAAGCTTTTTCAGCCCCCCAGCTTGATGAGGAGGGAGTGGGTGAGGAATTTTACACTGAAGGGGAGAGAGGGTAAGGAGTCTTACTTTTCCAGGTACTCCTCACTTGAGCATCAGCTTTAACAGAATGGGTTGGCTGGGCTGTTGCTGCAGAAGGACAGGCAGAGGCACCAGGGGACCCTCCTGGTCCATTCACCCTCCAACCCTCGAGGGCAGGGCCAAATCTCCCATGGTAAAACCTCTGGGGGAAAAGGGAATGATTCCACCCCCTCTTCGCACCCCATCAGATACACTGCTTGGCATGGTGCTGCCTCTGCCTGGTTCTCTACGGCTGGGCTGTGCAGGGCTTTGCATGCCATGGAAAGACTCCTGGGGGGAGGGGGACCATACCAGTGCCCCCTCTAAGTCAGCACCCAGAACTATTGCCCCTCTAACCCCACCCTAATTATGCCATTGCCTCTTTTTATATGGGAATAATCTCTATTGGTATATGTACCAACACTAGTGAAATTAAATCCGTGTTGTAGAGGGTTGAAACATTTTAACTATACAGGTAGGTCTCTGTGTTGAAAAACCACTGAAATGAAGTTTTAAAGACTGATTCAGTGCCACTAACAGGAGTGGAATCCTATTTGTTCTGTTTTTATTCATTCCCCCATCTAAAGAAAAGCCAGGGTAAATATGTCTGGAAGATGTTTACTGTCCTTTCTTAATGGACACAAAAATCTTGCTGTAAACCTGTATCTGAAGCTTTGATTAATACTGTGCTTATGCTTTTCAGAGAAAGACATGTTCTGGCATTTTCCCTGAAATCAATCGTGGTTTCTAAGTGCTGAGGACTTTTTGTGCTTTCACTTTCAGTAATAACTGTATTTGATCTGCTGTTTTCCAAAAAAAATAGCTGACGGTACTTTCAACCAAAAAATATGTTCACAGTCGTGCTTACATTTCAAGTGTAAGATCAGTTTCTTCCCTCTTCTTATGCAACTTTGAAAGGACTTCTGCAGGAAAACCTTAATCTGGATTTGTTTCTTTTTTTTCTGTCTTTGATAAAACAATGTCTACGTGTTAATTAGCCCAAACTTGGCCCTTGCCTCTTAGCACCACCTGCACTGCTGGTGCTCAGTAAATATAAGTAATACTTCAAGAGTAAAAGGAAAGACAAGAACTGCTCTGCTGATAACTTTGTTATCAAAGCACAGCTTCCAAGACAAAATTTTGTTCTGACTAAGAAAAACCCTTCATGCTCTCTTGCATGGGATGCTGGGATGAAACAGACTTCCAGGACCTAGTGTGAAATGTGAGGACCAGAAACATTTTGCCAAACTTTGGTAGGTTGTGGTTGGAGGAAGAGAAGTAAAAGGAATGACAACTGCATGTTGTTCACCCTGTGAGGTTTCTCTTCTTCTCTACCTTAGAGGAAGAAGTGTCTCTTCTTACAGCTGGATTAATTCCTCACGTGGCAGCTGTGTGTACAGGAGCATGGTAAGATGATACCTCTAGGTCTTGAGTAAGAAGCAATATACGGAAAGACAAGCTTCAGTCACAAAGATGTGCGAGTCTCAGTTCAGTCCCTGATTACCCCTTGTTCGTGGACAAAACTAACCCGTGCCAACTTTAGCTTTGCCTTGCACAGCTTATTATCTGATGCATGTTCAAAGCTTGTCTGCCTGGAAGAACCTCAAAACTATAGCTATTCTGGCACTATTGAAAATAACAGCATGTGCCAACAGACACTGGTTTTCTGCAAGTGTAGCTAGGCTACATCCTTGATCCGCATAAACTAAGCTGACAAATACCCTATTCTATAAGCATAACAGCTTCTAGACCAGGGGGTTTGCTTATTTTGTTACGTTGGTTATAGCCGGTGTTCTTTTCCACCTCCTAACCCCCCTGGCTATTCCAGTATACAACAGGACTCAGTGACGTTGTAGGGAGTCCAAGTCAAATGATATTTCCCTCCCATATGTCTTGGAGAGTATCAAACAGCAACACCATAGAAAGTGCTATATGGAGAATTTGCTGTTGCTGTTAAGGATTTTTGGGTGTGGCTGCAGAGACCAAAGGGTGTCTTTTCTTTTGAAAGACAGAGCTTTCAACTGCATAGAGTTACTGGGTGCAGTCAATGCCGGCCTGTTTGCTGTTGTGTTTGGGCTCATGTGCATGAGAAAGTTTTATCAGTTATGTGTTTAAACTACTACAGTCACACCAATTTAAATCTTTGTATGGACATGCTTATTGCAAAATAAAAGGTCTGCAGGATAAATTACAGGTGGTCCTCGGAATTATGACACAATTGGTTCCTGAAAACCGTGTCTTAAGTCAAAATGTAACTCAGAACCAATTTTCTCAAAAGAAACTATGTTAAAAATGAGGGATTGGTTCCTAAACCAAGACCCAATACCCTATTTTCACTAAAAATACCCCAAAATTTTGTACTCGATCAATTATAGATGAGTAATATAGCTACATTAATGTATTTATATTGTAAAAAGCAATCATATTGATTTGGAAGGACTTCTTTGAAGTGACTTTGCTGGACTTTATGAAAGGCTCTTGGTTGGACTTTTTGAAGGGTTCTTGGCTGGAGTCTTCTCAGGAGTGCCTGTATACCCGTAGAACTAGACTGACTTAAATTTACACCTCATCTTAACCTAAATAACCTAAATAACTTGCTTCTATAGAAAAGCCCTTACAGTCATGTCATATTTACTTTGAAATGGCAACTTGGGCAGCAGCAACCACAAAATGATTGAGTTCAGGATCCTAAGAAAAGGAACGAAGGAGGGCAGAAAAGTAAGGACCCTGGACTTCAGAAAAGCAGATTTTGACTCACTCAGGGAACTGATGGGCAGGATCCCCTGGGAGGCGAGTCTGAGAGGGAAAGGAGTTCAGGAGAGCTGGTTATATTTTAAAGAAACCTTACTGAGGGCACAGGGACAAACCATCCTGATGTATGGGAAGACTAACAAGTATGGCAGAAGACCAGCTTGGCTTAGTAGGGAACTCTTCAGTAAACTAAATCACAAAATGAAACTTATAAGAAGCTTACTTGGGTAAATAACTAGGGAGGAGTATAAGGGTATTGCTCAGGCATGCTGAGATAAAATCAGGAGGGCCAAAGTGCAATTGAAGTTGCTATTAGCAAGGGATGTGAAAGGTAGCAAGAAAGTTTTCTATAACTATATTAAGAACAACAGAAAGAACAGGGAAAGTGTGGGTCCCTTATTGAACGGCAGAGGCAACCTGGTGACAGATGATGTGGAAAAGGCTGAAGTACTCAATGCCTTTTTCACCTCAGCCTTCACAGGTAAGGTCAGCTCCCAAACTACTGCACCTGGCAGCATAGTTTGGGAAGGAGGTGAGCATCTTTCAGTGGTGAAAGAACAGGTTAGGATCTATTTAGAAAAGCTGGACATGCACAAATCCATAGACTGGATGTGATGCACCCAAGGATACTGAGGGAGTTGGGAGTGATTGCAGAGCTGCCGGCCATTATCTTTGAAA